CAGAGGGGCCGCCAGCTACGTGTAAAGAGGTAGCTGGACTGCCACGCGAATGCTATTGTGCAGTCCTCTGGGAATCTGGCTCAGGAGGTAGGGGCAGAGGTCATGCTGGCTGCAGCGCTCTCCCCACAGATGGCCTGGCTTAGGCCTGCTGCAGTGGGTACCTGGCCCTCTGGGCAGAGGGAAACAGTGTCCTAGTTTGCTGGGTACCCCAATGCCTGGCCTCATGTGCCCCAGATGAGATAGGTTCTGCATATTTACAGTGGTGGGCTGGGTCCCTGGCATCCTGTGCTGGCCTCCCCTCATTGTAGATTGGGAAAGTACCATCTGGTCCTCTCTCCAGGGGAGCTGAGTGAGGCTGCCCTCTGGTCCCTGGGAGCTGCACCCTCTACAGAGGAACACGCCTGCCAGAGAGAAAGCTGCCCCAGTGCCTCAGAGGTTTGGGGGAAGAAGGCCCCATGTTCTCCTAGCCCCTTCTGTGTGTGGGCTCTGTATAGCAGTCCTGGGAGATTACCTAGAAGACAAGCCTAGAAAGGCAGGATGACTGTCCCTGCTCTGCCGATGAGCTTGGCACAGCCTCCCACAGGGGAAGTGTAGGCAGACCCCAGAGCACAGAGGATGGACATGGGAGCCCCATCCTTGCAGGCAGGAAGTGCCTCCTGGTGCTGGACTGGAAGAGGAGGGAAAGAGGAGAAAGGACAGGAAATATAGGGACACCTGCCTCCCTGGTTCAGGGAGATGGTCATGCTGGCACAGGGGCTCTGCCTATCATCACCCTGGGGCTAGAGTAACTCTTAAGTCTCTAGATGAGCCCCAGGACACATCCTCATCCTTATGACCTGGCCTGGGGTTTCTTGGCAGCTGGTTCTGCCCTTATCTCTCCCCTCTGCAGGTGTCTCCAAGGACCAGGGTCTTGGGCAGCTCCCAGATACTATTCCCAGCCATTATACACATTGGCTTATTTCATCCTCATGGTAACAAAGCAGTGTTACTGTCTCCATTTTATACATTTTATAACTGAAGTACTGATCCCAAAATCATTCTGAAGCCAGGTAGAACAGCCTTTGGACCTCACACTCTGGTTCTCCCATGAGCCAGGATGCCTCTTTTGGGCCTGTGTTTTGGGGGTGGTGGGCAGGGAGCACTCCTGCCTCCTATCCGCAGCCTCTCCCTCCCAATACCTGTCTTGCAGCAGGGATACCTCCTTCTTCCAGCAGATGAATCACAGTCTTAAGGAAAGCTTCTGAGGGGCAGGCACCAGCAGGACCATTCATAATCACCATATACTGAGCAGAGTCCAAACTCTGGCTTGCTGTCACCTCCCTTGCAAATGCTGGGGCCCTTCACTCAGGTGACAGCCCTACAGGGGTGTTGAGAAATGGTCATAACCATTTTACAGAGAAATAAAGCCCAGAGAATAGGAAGCCTGATCAGAGACAGGAAACCCTCAGGTGGCAAAGCTGGGGCTCAGACCCCACACACCCACTTATGGGGCCTCCCACGCCAGCTGAGAAAGCTCTAACAAGTTCCTGTTTTATGTTTAATTATGGAGGTAGTACATATTCATGGCTAAAACAATCATGAGAGCTATGTGAGATGACTGGAAGGCACAGCCGCCTCCAGGTCTTCCTGGTGCCTTGTCCACACTCGCCAACTGCTTTTGGTGGCTCAGCACCCTCAGGCCTTACCTAGACATGGATGTGGAGGAAGAGGCTGATCTGGCACTGTCTAAAATCTCTTGACTCCCTGGTCTACCAGGTTCCTGCATATGCCTGGTGTTTAGCAATATCACTGCCAGCTGCAGGCACCCCCTGCCAATGTCAGCCCTGTGCACCAGGCAGTGCTGCCAAGGGGGTAGGCTTGCCATGCCCCAGAACATGTTTGGCCAGTAGTGTTTATCTTGCCCTGCCTCAGTTTTCTCAACTGGCAAAGGGAAGTGGGTGGTCCTAGTACCACCAAAGAGGTGATCTGGGCCCACAGGCTTTTTGATGTGTCCTGACGATCACTGGATGGACATGCTAGGCTGCCAGAGCCAAGGGTGGTGTCTGTTTAGGTCCTGGCTGCCTTGTGTCTGGGACCAGCAGCTCATCTCCCCAGTTTTTAGCTCCCTCACCCTAGGAGGGATTTCCCTGAGAGGACATGAGCTCCTAGTGTGGGGTATAGTCCAGACAGGCTCTTCTGGAGCTGTCAGCTAGAGGAAGCAGGAAGGGGTTGACTCTAGCCAGGTTAGAGGCCTCTGTAAGTCAGGTGCAGGAGGGCTTGCCAGAGGAGCTTGGCCAGGGAGGGCTGAGGTGGGCTAGCCAGTGTGGCTTCCAGACCATGGAGACCCCAAGGATGGCTCTGGTTATGGAAGTGCAGATGTCATGGGCCTGGAGGAGTGGTCAGTGCCTTGCCCTTTGCCCCTGACCTTATAGGAAGAGATTGGTGGGACCTATGGTCTCCAGCTGGTGGAGTCAGCACCTCCTGACCATGCCCAGCTCCATGCAAGTGAGAGCAGACCGAGGACTCTGTTGTTCCAAGCACCCTGATATTTACTGATTATTGTTGTATGCAGAGTCTAGTGCTGGCCAGTAGGGGTACTCCTGGGCTACAGGACTAGGAAAGGGTGGCCCCCATCATAGGACAGGCCTCTGGGCTTCAGGTTGGTGCTTGGCTACTGCCCAGAGATCCCCACTGCAGCTTGACCTGTCTGCCTCCCTGTGATCTCAGGTGAGTGCTCTGGCACCTCTGAGGCCTATCTGTGATACAAGTACCTGGTTTCTCAAGGGAACCTGGGCTGACATAGTGGATCTGGGATCAGTTCCTAGGCCTGCTCCCCTCCCCCACCCAGCTGGCCAGCGGGTGGTCAGGGCCCTGGCAGACCTCTCCTACTAGTCCAGGACAGCAGCCAGCTGTGCCCAGGCTGAGGGAATGGGAAGCTGCCCACTCCTGACACCCTGTTTGCTTGTTGCTGGGTGGTCATGGGACTAGGGCAGCTGGCTGGATAAAAGCTCACACCCTGTGACCACAGCCTCATGGTAGTTCGCTGGCCTTCCCCTCAAGGGTCCCCCCATAATGTGCCCTGGACAGGGGCAGAGGCCCAGTCTCTAGACAGCACGATGGTCCCCAGGGCACCAAACCATGTAGAAGGTGGAGTGGCTGCCTCTGGGTGTGGGCATCAGCCAGCTTCTGGGATAGCAGGGAGCATCGTCCTACCACTACCTGGCAACTGGGCTGCTGATCTAGTGGTCCCAGTGCCTTCTAGGCAAGGGAGGCCAGACAGGGGACAGTCTACCCCTAAGGCTCCCAGGGAGGCCTGCATTGCTGCAGCATCCATTGTGAAAAGCAGCTCTAGGAAGGGCAATTGAGGGGTCCCTGGGGGAGCTCTCCCTACGATGAAGGCTACCATGGCGATGTCCACTCCTCTGGGTACCTCCCCTAGTCAAGTACTTCAGGCTGTATGGTACTCTTGGTCCCTCAATGAGGCACAGCCTGTGTCTACCCCACCCTGTCATAGAAATTGTGCAGAGCTTCCACAGGGACTGTGCCATTAGCAAGGCCATGTGGCCAGCAAGTGAGCACATTTGAACCCAGGAATATAGGGTTATGAGACCTGGGTCCTTTCTCTGTACCTTCTTTGAAGCCTAATTTCTTTCCTTTACTTTTTCTTTCTTTCTTTTTTTTTTTTCCTTTTTGAGACAGAGTCTTGCTCTGTTGCCCAGGCTAGAGTACCCTGGCATCATCATAGCTCAATGTAGCCTTAAACTCCTGCCTCAGCCTCCCTAATAGCTGAGACTACAGGCACCCACTACCATGCCTGGCTAATTTTTCTAATTGTAGTAGAAATGGGGTCTTGTTTTTGCTCATGCTGGTCTCAAATTTCTGGGCTCAGGCGACCCTCCCACCTTGGCCTCCCAGAGTGCTGGGATTACAGGCGCAAACCACCACACCAGCCTAAAGCCTGGGTTCCTTATCTGTGCAGTGGGTGTGAGAGTAGTGGCTGGTGCCTGACAACTCTGGGCTGCTGTCAGTACCCTCCCTTCCCCCAGTGGGTGTTTAGGAAATGTCACTGATGCATCAAGTAAACCACTTCCTGTGGGGGATGCTTGCCTTGGACAGGAGGACTCTTGTGTCCTCTCTGTTTTCTGTGTCCTAAGGCTTGGGGGACAGCAGCAGAAGGCCATTCTATGAGCAGCCCTCAGCCTGGCCAAGAAGCTCTGTGTTGTGAGATGAGTGCCCATATGTAGCCTATGCAGGTTGTCCCCAGGACAGTGATCATGGCTATATGGGGCCAGGCTGTCAGAGTGGTGGGACTCCACCAGGCAGTGCCCACTCCCCATTCTGTACTGTGGGTGAAGGGCCTCTTCCTCACACAGCCCCCAGACATGACTGAAGATCTGCTGGGGCCTTTGCATGGCTCATACCTGGCCAGGGGGAGTTCAGCCCCAGCAGTCTCCCCATTTCCCTAACAACCCCTAAAACAGCACTACAACTGAGGCAGTAATTCTCTCCCAGGACTGAGGCAGGAGAGCTCTCTAGGTTTGAAAGGGCATGGGCCCTGGTGATGAGGACAGGAGGTGATGCTCACAGCTGGGTCCTATAGCAGTGTGACCAGAAGGTCACCTTTCTAGAGGAGGCACCACCCCTTCCTCAGAAACAGCTACAGGGGATTAAGGAACTTCCTCAGCCATGTGACTAGTCAGCAAGGGTGCTGACCTTGCCAGCCTGCTGGGTCCCTCTGTCACCTGTATCCCCTAGCTGCCTGCCACTCACTAGTTATTCCTGAGGCCTAGTTAAGCACTCTTGTTTAAATGTATCCTGAATGCCCCTCTAGACTCTGTGGCATAGGATGTGCCAGGCCCCTATGGGGAGGGAGCAGTGGGACTGGGAGAGGACCCCCTCCATGGCCTTGAGTAGGCCCACCTGGCCCCTCCTAATGGGACTTGGGGTCCGATCTTGATGTTCTACACAGTTGAAGATGGGGAGGGTCTAACCCTTCAGTACTCTTCTCATCTGCCTTGCAGGCGCTGCTGCTGCTGGGGGCCACTGCCCTGGCCTGCCTAGCCCTGGACCTCCTCTTCCTGCTCTTCTACTCCTTCTGGCTGTGCTGCCGGAGGCGCAAGAGCGAGGAGCACCTGGATGCAGACTGCTGCTGCACTGCCTGGTGCGTCATCATCGCCACGCTAGTGTGCAGGTGAGCGTAGAAGGGGCGAGGTAGGGATGGGGGCGGGGTGGCCAGGGAGGGAGGGGGCGGAGTTAGCTGTGGGAAGGGGCAGGCCCTGGCCCTGTCGTCACCGGGCCCTGCCCCCTCCCAGCGCTGGCATCGCTGTGGGCTTCTATGGCAACGGGGAGACCAGTGATGGCGTCCATCGAGCCACCTACTCGCTGCGTCACGCCAACCGCACGGTGGCTGGCGTCCAGGACCGCGTAAGTGGCCACAGAATTGGGTTCTGGGGAGCACTCTTCCTGCTCCTGACTAGGCATCTGTGCGAGGCTGCGGGTGGGGGCTGCTGCAGGTGCGGGCTATTCAGGAGGAGCTGGCACCCGCGGGGAGTGGGGTGTACACCAGCCTGATTCGCTCTGGCTCTGGCGGCAGGTGTGGGACACTGCAGCAGCACTGAACCGCACAGCGGAGCCCAGCATACAGAGCCTAGAGCGGCAGTTGGCAGGGCGACCAGAGCCCCTGCGGGCCGTGCAGCGGCTGCAGGGCCTACTGGAGACACTCTTGGGCTACGCAGCTGCCATACCTTTTTGGAGAAACCCTGCAGTGTCGCTGGAGGTGCTGGCGGAGCAGGTGGACCACTATGACTGGTACAGGTGCGGCTGCACATTAGCTACACATCACCTTCCCTGAGCTAGTTTTGCTCTGAGCACTTAATACCAGAGGTTTTATGGGTGGGGTCACTGAAGGCCACTGGAGGTTATAGGCAGTGACAGGAGTCCCCAAGTAGATGTCTTACAAGAACTGACATTGTCCACATGTCCCAGAACTACCTGTAGGGCCCCTCCTGGGCACCAGCGCTCTCCTGCCCATCTCCCTAGCCCATGTTGCAGGGCCCTGGCCCACACCCACGGTTGCTTGCAGGTGGCTGGGCTACTTGGGCCTGCTGCTGCTCGACGTCATCATCTGCCTCCTGGTGCTAGTTGGCCTCATCCGCAGCTCCAAGGGCATCCTGGTTGGGTGAGTCTGGGTGGGGAGTTGCCACCTGTGGGCCCACAGTGGGAGGTCCAGGAGAGGCACACAGTGCTATCCTACCCCACCCCACCCCCGTCCTCTGCCTCCCATCTATGGGTCCTGGCCAGACCAGCTGCTGTGGGACCTGAACAAGATCCTTGCTAGCTGGGCTGCATAGGGCCTGCTTGAAGATGCTTCCCTAGTGCCCATGGCTTGTGCCCCTGTGGCCAATGTCCTAGGCATGCTTGCCCTCATCCTGGTCTTAGCTTCCTGCTGTGCTCCTCTCCTGAAAGAGTCTACACCTGTGGTACTTGCAGCCCAGAGACCTGAAGCCCCCTGCCCAGGTCCCCCAGTGCTTGGGGATACCAAGAGATCAGGCTGGGACCTTTTTATTCTGGCCCCCCACCCCAGGCTGGTGACCTTGGGCAGGTGGTTCATGAGTGCTAAACCTCTGTCTCCTTGTCTGGAAGATGGAGTGACAGTTTGTGCAAAGGGTCACTGTCCCTCACTACACAGTTGCAGGTCATTTCCTGGCTCCTCCCTGCATCAGCTCTGGGAGAGATGAGAGAACTGTCTGGCCCCACCTCTGTGGCACTTGCAGGTTTGAAGGAGATGAATGAGTGAAACATGCCATATTTCGCTAGAAACATGTGATAGAGGTGATAGTACCCTGGAGCAAAATAGAGTAGGGTGAGAGGGAGTGTAGGCGGCAGGGTCTGCCCAAGGAGATCTAGGAGAAGAGACATTGAGCACATCCTTGCCCCCAAATCTACCCTCCTGAGCTGAAAGCAGATGCCGAAGTCCAGGTTCTAGCCTTGAGGACCCAGGATGGGAGCAGCTTCCCTTTGAGGCCCAGCTTGGTCACCCCTCTTATGATCAATACCTATGTGACCAAGAGCCAGGGTCACATGAGGAAGTATGTTTGATGGCCAGTGTGCAGGCCCACAGTGGGGTATGCACAAGCTGCACACATGAGGAAGTATGTTTGATGGCCAGTGTGCAGGCCCACAGTGGGGTATGCACAAGCTGCAGAGGGACGGAGGAAGTAGGTGAGCTCAGGCCTCAAGCCAGTAAGAGCTTGCTGTTATAGCAAGAGCCCTACCCAGTGTTCTGAGTGAGGCAGTGCCCCTGCAGGGTTTGGACAAAGGAGGGCCTGCTATGGCTGAGGTTAGCATACCCCTCAGGCCACTATGTGGACAGCAGGCTGCAGGGTTCAGAGTGAAAATAGAGGAAAAGGGCCGGGGGAACAGAGTGCCACCTGGCCTTCCCAAAGAGTGAAGGCCCACCTTCCCTGCCCCTAGCCCAGTCAGTCTACCTTAGCCAGGATGGACATTTGTTTGGGCTTGGGCTTTAGGCAGCTCTGGCTGAAGCCAGTATGGGCTAGACTTCTAAATGTGCCCTGGGACCTGCCTTCTGGGCTGCAGCCTGAGGGTAACATGTCCCCAACTCCCAGCATACGGGCTGCTGACTAGCTCTCTTTGTTCCAAGGGTCTGCCTGCTGGGTGTCCTGGCTCTGGTCATCAGCTGGGGCTCACTAGGCTTGGAGCTGGCTGTGTCTGTGGTAAGTGGCAGAAAAGACCAGTGAGCCCCATCTGTTGGGCTTGGGCATTTACCTCCCTAGTTCCCCCAGGTCACTGTGTCTTGAGAGTGGTGGGAACCTATCCTGGGCTCTTAGCACATCCTTGGGCTCATAGCACATCCCGGGCCCCCAAATCATATTCCACCCTTCGGAGCTGAAAGCAGATCCCAGAGGCCAGGTTCTACCCCTAAGGACTTAGGGTAGAAGCAGCTTCCCTTTGAAGCCAAGGTTGGTCACTCCTGCTTGTACCTCCCTAGGGCTCCAGCGACTTCTGTGTGGACCCCAACACTTATGTGACCAAGATGGTGGAAGAGCATTCAGTGCTCAGTGGGGGTGAGTCTGCAGCAGGGTTGGGTGGAACTGGGAGGGCAAATGGCTGAGGCAGAGGGACCTCTGCACTTGGGGAGAGGTTGTGGGAGGCTCCTGAATGACTATGTACAGGGGCCTTGTGAGCCCAGTGATGGGGGCAGAGGACCAAGTAGCCTGGTCAAGGGAGGCCTGCTAAATAGGTGGCATCAAAGTTGAGCCAAAGGAGGCTACATCTTGTCAAGAGGCCCTGAGGCAGAAACATGTAATGAGTTACTGAGCAGAAGATAGACCAGTAGGGCAAGGGGCAGGGGGAGGCCATAGGGCCATGTCACAAAAGCTCCATGAGCTTTATTCTGGAGGTCCACAGAAGGAAGGAAAGTGGGGGAGAGACAGGATGCACCATTGGAGGTCTCGTTAAAAGCTTCTTCAGACTGCTGGGGTCACCAGGGGATGAGGCAGGAGAGTGGAGACAGGGCTTGAATACAAGGGGCAGAAAGTACACAAGGCTGGGCTTTGAAGGCGGGCCTCAGGGACTTCTCAATGAGTGGGTGTAGGGGGTATGGAGGAGCTGAGGCTCTGGCCTGGACGGCTCCTTGTTGCAGGGCCATGAGTTGGGTTGGGTATAGGGAACAGGCCTGGGGTAGGGGGTGGGGTCCAAAGGTTTGGCCAGGTTTGCAAGTCATTTTAGATATTAGAGGCGGGACATGGGAATCTGGAGGTCAGGGTGTGGTCAGGCTGTACACTGTTCTGCTTGTTGGGCCCTGTTATGGAAGTGTCACATGTTCTATAATAGAAAATAGAGGGGCTGCCCCTGGGGGAGACTGGATGGCCTGGAAAATCCCATCCCTGTCAGGACCATCCTGTCACCCTTAATCCAACAAAGCCACAGGATTAGCTTGTGGGCTGGTTTCACAGCTCATTTTGTGGAAGGTGCCATTTCCTCTACACCCTGAAATACCTCTCACCTTGCCCTTGGGTAGGGTGGGAAGGAGTGGGCCCACACCACTGGGGGCTTGCAGGGCTAGTGACTACTGCCTCACCCCACCCTCAGTCCTGATGCCATCAGCAGGTCCTCACTGCTCCAGGTTCTTTTTTTTTTCTTGAGACAGGAGCCTCAAGCTGTTCCCCTGAGTAGAGTACCCTGGTATCACAGCTCACAGCAACCTCTAACTCCTGGGCTCAAGCGAGTCTCCTGCCTTAGCCTCCCAAGTAGCTGGGACCACAGGCACCCGCCACAATGTCCAGCTATTTTTTGGTTGCAGCCGTCATTGTTGTTTGGCAGGCCCGGGCTGGATTCGATCCCGCCACCTTGGGTGTACGTGGCTGGCGCCTTAGCCACTTGAGCCACAGGTGCCAAGCCAGTGCTCCAGGTTCTTGAGACCTTGGCAAGCACAAACAGCCCCTACTGTGCTCAACTGAGTGTGCACGCCCACACACATGATCACATGTACACATAGACACATGTGTGAGTGTGAACTCCAGCCCGCAGGCCAGACAGCCCCTTGCAAAAGGCCATAAAGCCAGCTATATTGGCTCCATTTTACAGGTATAAAGTGAAGACTGGTACTGTCTTATGTTTCTGAGTACTTTGATTATTTTTTCAACTTTTAAAATGTTCTTTTATCTTTAACATCCTTTTGCAATTGGAAGAAACTAACCTTACAGAGAGTTTAGAAGGTGGAACCTTGACAAGGGGCAAGTGCTTGAGGACCTTGAGCTCACTGAGATTGTATGGGAGCCCAGACCCCAGTGCCAAGTGCAGGTGCAGACATACATGCAGATACACATGCAGACAAATGCAGGAGTGTGAATGAATGCACACATGCATACAGATACACACACATAACACCCATGGGGTCATACATATGCAGTCAACTGTCTGTGCTCAGCTGCTGTATCCTCTCTCCACAGAAATCCTGCAGTACTACCTGGCCTGTTCACCTCGAGCTGCCAACCCCTTCCAGCAGGTGAGAGCATGACTGTTACTGGGGGGCCGGGCCAGAAGCCAGAGTGTGCAGGGAGAGCCTGAAGTACCTGGTTACTATATAAGAAAGGCCCAGGGAACTCTGGGTGCTGTGGGAGATAACTGGGTGGATGCTGTTCTGGGATTACCATCCTGGGCCCTGGGCACAAGCTTTTTGGAGTGACCTGGCTAATTCACCTCCATCCCTGGGACTCCTTTCATTCTTTGAATTGCCCTTCATGGGGTGGTAAGGGTCCCAGGGTTGCCTCTGCAGAGTGACATCTGTTGAGGTGTCCTGCAGGGAAAGCTGTGGGGTCTGTGGCACCAGCTGCCGGTCATGGCTCTGTGAGTGCTGGGCCCTCCAGGCCCTGGAGACTGTTCACCTGCCTTGAAGCTGCTGTGTTTTGCTCTGTGGAGCGGGTGCATGATTCTTGTTGCCACCTCAGGAATCTGTTGCCTGTGGGTGTGTCAGCAGCAAAAGCTAGGGAAGGCCCTGGTGGCCTTGTGGGTTGCCATGTGGGGAATCTGGGGGAGGGAGAGGCAGACTGGCCCTGGCCCTGCTGCCATCAGCTGCCTGTCCATGGAGCAGAAGCTGTCGGGCAGCCACAAAGCACTGGTGGAGATGCAGGACATTGTGTCTGAGCTCCTGAGGAGCGTCTCCCAGGAACATCCAGCCACCAAGGTAAGGACATGCAGGGAAGGGGAGGGCAGGGATTCTCTTTTCACAGCATGAAAGGAATTTGGGGGTACAAACACAGCTCAGGGGCTAGGCACAGTGGCTCACGCCTGTGATCCTAACACTCTGGGAAGCTGAGGCAGGTAGATCGCCTGAGCCCATGAGTTTAAGACCAGCCTGAACCAGAGCGAGACTCCCATCTCGGGCATTGTGGCAGGTGCCTGTAGTCGCAGTTACTTGGGCGGCTGAGGCAAGGGGATCTCTTAAGCCCAAGAGTTTGAGGTTGCTGTGAGCCATGACACCATGGCACTCTACCAAGGGCAGCAAAGTGAGACTCTGTCTCAAGCAAATAGCTCAGGGCAAATTTGGGAAAGACAGTGGGACTGGCCTGATAGGGATCTGGTATTAACGTTGGGAGTAATCCCTGTTTTCTTCCCACCCTTTCCACATAGAGGCCTCTTTTCTCTTTCCTTCCTTCCCCTCTTCAGTCCTTTTCCCAAAGGTTTTAGGTAGCTTTTTTTTTTTCAGAATAATTTTGTTGGTTGGCCATGGTGGCTTACACCTGTAATCTCAACAGTTTGGGAGGCTAAGACAGAGGAGTACTTGAGCTCAGCAGTTAGAGACCAACCTGGGCAACATAGCAAAACCCCATCCTTTAAAAATTTTTTAAAAACTTGGCTGGCTTGGTGGCTCACACCTATAGTTCAGCTACTCAGAAGGCTAAGCCAGGAGGATCACTTCAGAAGTTGGAGGCTCAATGCTATGATTGTACCACTGCACCCCAGCCTGGGCAACAGAGACCCTGTCTCTAAATAGTAATAATAATAGTTTTGGTTTTTATTTTTAAAGTGATGCAAACTGTATTTAAAAATTGGCTCAGCACCTGTAGCACAGCGGTTATAGCGCCAGCCACATACAACGAGGCTAGCAGGTTCGAGCCTAGCCTGGGCCTGCTAAACAATGACAACTGCAACAAAAAAATAGCTGGGCATTGTGGCGGGTACCTGTATTCCCAGCTACTTGGGAGACTGAGGCAGGAGAATCACTTAAGCCCAAGAGTTGGAGGTTGCTATGAGCTGTAACGCCACGGCACTCTACCAAGGGTGACATAGTAAGACTCTGTCTCTAAATAAATAAATAAATAAATAAAATTGGAGAAAATGAAAACAGATAAAAGAACAAAATAAGGTTAATTTTCAGGGTTAGGTGCACACCCTTGGGGGCATTCTGGAAATTTGAGAGGATTACTTTCCCTCCCATCTCCCCTACCCCTAGACTGTTCTGGACCCTATATTTTTATTAAAATACCATTGACTGGTATTTTAGGTGTGGTGGTTCATACTTGTAAACATAGCATTCTGGGAGGCCGAGTCAGGAGGATTGCTTGAGTTCAGGAGTTCAAGATCAGCCTGAGCAAGAGCAAGACTCTGTCTCTACTAAAAATAGAAAAACTAGCCAGGCATTGTGGTGGTACATGCCTGTAGTCCCAGCTACTTGGGAGGCTGAGGCAGGAGCATGGCTTGAGCCCAGGAATTCCAGGCTGCAGTGAGCTATGATAATGCCACTGCACTCCAGCTTGGGCAACAGAGTGAAGTCCTGTCTCTAAAATAAAATACATATTGCTATACTCCAGACAAAATTCCAAATCTCCTTGGAGGTATTAGTCCACAGGTTACTTGTGAGGAACCTGGCCTCGTCCCCTACTCCAGCACTGAGGACAAGAGGGAAGCATGTGTCATGGGCATGATGGTGGTGCTCAGATTCCACGTGGGAGCAGCAGGCCCTTCTCTAAGAAACTCTTCACAAAATTCAAACACACATGCACAAACACATACTACTTTAAGGTTACTTTTATTTTGGTTATAGTCAAGACATTCTCTTGACTTCTTTGCAATTGTGTGGGTAGATAGGTATATCAGTTAGCACCCCACAGACCCAGAAGCTGGAGCAGCAAACATTTAATCCTCACAGTTCTGGAGGCTAGAAGTCTCAGGTCAAATATGGGCAAGTCTGGCTTCCTTCAAGGACTCACTCCCTGGCTTGTTGACAGCCTCTTCTCCCAGGGTCTTCCCTTGATGGTCCTCTTTGTGGTCTTGCCCTAATCTCTTCTCCTTATAAGGACACCAGTCACCTGGAATTGGGGCTGCCCTAAACATCTCATTTTAACTTAATCATCTCTTTATAGGCCCTATTTCCAAATATAGTCCCACTCAGAGATACTGGGGAGTTAGGGTTTAGCACATGTATTTTGAGGGACACCTATCAACCCATAATGGTAGGTTCTATTATCCTCAAAGCCATTTTAGGATTATAGAAGGACCTTAGGATCTCTAATAGCTGGTCTAGAGGAACCATTATTGATCTATAAGTGTGCCTTTATTTCTCCTTGCATGAGATAGAGCTGGAGGTGTCTGTGCATACGTACACATGCACATGGATGCACAGCAGAATCGGGGTCACTCTGCGCGGAGAGTTTGTGTACTGTTTTGTCACTTACTATATCTTGAGAATTTTCCCTTGTCACTCTTTCGCCTCTAGTTAGAGTGCCGGGCCATCTTAGTTCCCAGCAACCTTAGACTCTTGGGCTCAAGCTATCCTCTTGCCTTAGCCTCCCGAGTAGCTAAGCCTATGTGCCACTAGTTTTTATGTTTTTAGTAAAAAAGGGGTCTTGCTCTTGCTCAGGCTGGTCTCAAACTCCTGACCTCAGGCAGTCCACCCACACTGGCCTTCCAGAGTGCTAGGATTACAGGTGTGAGCTGGGAGCCTGGTCTAAAATATCATTTCTAAAGCCAGAACAAGTCTGCATCAGTAAACATTCATGTGCTTTGCTGTTTTTCCATTTACAACTCTATTTTTATGAGGTGGTGACCACACTGAATAGGCATCTGTGGGTCCTCATGTCCTTGGTAGGCCCTGTGAATCCAAGGCATACTCTAGAGTCCCCATTTCTGAAGGCCTGGGGTCCTCAGGGCTTTCCCCAAGACCACTGGGGTTGAGGATATTCTCAGTGACAGGTGATGGAGTGAGATCTGGGGGGCTCTTGAGGAGGTGTGGCTGGCTTGAGACCCAAAATAAGTTCCAAGTAAGTTTTGACTTCCTCTGGTGCATGTGTCCCAGGACCCCCTGCTCCGTGTCCAGGAGGTACTGAATGGCACAGAGGTGAACCTGCAGCACCTCACCGCCTTGGTGGACTGCCGCAGCCTGCATCTGGTGAGACGCTGCTGCCTGGGGCAGAGGCATTGCAGCGGGGGTAAGGGGCAGGGAGCAGCCATTCAGGAGGACAGACAGTGGGTCCTCTGCCCAGCCTCATGTGGGGGTGGTCCAGGCCTCTGCTGCTGGGTTGAGGGCCTCACACTGCCTGTCCCCACCTCTCCTATCTCTGGGTCTTGCCATCTTATCCCCACCCAACCTCAGGACTACGTGCAGGCGCTGACAGGCTTCTGCTACGACGGCGTTGAGGGCCTCATCTACCTGGCCCTCTTCTCCTTTGTCACTGCCCTCATGTTCAGCTCCATCGTCTGCAGTGTTCCACACACCTGGCAGCAGAAGAGGTGAGGGACTCAGAGATGTGCTGGAGCTAGGCCACACCACATGCAGGATATCTTAACAAGCATGCCCTTCTAAACACACATGTCCCAGTCCCTAGAGGTGAGGGACAAATGCCTCCTCCCCTCTTGACCCTCTGCAGCATCTCCGAGGCCACCAGCAACCAGGTGCGAGTATCCCCATTTCACAGAAGGAAAATAGCCTGGAGGAGCTCCTGGCCTGGGTCATGCAAGTCCAGGGCAGGCAGTGGGGACTGGGGTCTTCTCCCCCAAGGCTGGCTCTGTGCCCCCCAACCCTGGCTGGGAAGGCAGCTGGCCAGCTATGCAGACTCAGCTCCTGCAAGAGGTGGCGAGGATAGAAGCCAGCCTCCTAGGAGCTGCCATGTGCTTAGCTTTGAAGTAGGGGTCTGAGTGGCCCCTGCCTCTGTCTCCCCATTTAGTACTGGGTTCAATGGTGTCTGGGAGTGTCAATCTCTTTCCTTTGCTGGAGCCTCTAAAGGTCACCTTTCAGGCCCTCCATCTTCCCTCTCGCCCAGAGCTGTTTCTTGGTGGCCCAGCTTGGATGGCAAGTAGCTCAGCTCAGATTTCTTCCCTTTGTCTGGATTTCTAGTCTGTTATTTCCCCTATGGTGGATATGGTAGCAGTTGTGGCAATAGTGGTGATAAAGAGACGGTCATAATGGTGATGATGGTAGTGGTGATGGTGATTTGGTGATGATAGTGATGGAGGTAATGGTGATGGTGGAAATGATATCGTGATGTGATAGTGATGATGATGATGATGATGTAATGGTGGTGATGATGGTGATGGTGGCAATAAAGTTGCTGATGAGGGCAGTGGTGGTGATGGTGGCAGTGGGAATGAAGATGGCTGATAGGAGTAGCTATGGAACACAGTCTTGGAACCACATGGCTAGGTTCAGATTGTGACCCTATTCTTGCTTATTGTTTGACCTTGGGTAAATCTCATTACCACCCTAGCCCTCAATTTCCCTGACTGTGATAAAGGAGTTTTAAAAAACACACCTTGAGGGTTGAGTGAGCTACATATGAGGGCCCCACCCTAGGTTTGACTGGTAGTCACTGCACACCCACCAGCAACCGCTGTCCTAACTACCATGAGCCCAGCTACCATGAGCCCAGCCCTGCATCCTATCTAGGCCCATGCTGGGTATGGAGGGCTCCAGACTGGCAGAGGGCTGGCCCACTGCTCCCTCATTCCGCCCTGCAGCAGCCTGTTAGGAGCAGACAGGAAGCCATACTACAGCAGGGTTGAGAAAACCAGCTCAGGCCACTCAAGGTACACATGGTCCCTGCGGGGCAAAGGAGAGTATTGCAGCCTCCAGGTTCCAGCCTCCTGTGTTCCCTTGGGAGGGCCCCTGTGCCCTTTCTTTAATAAGCAGACAGTATGGGCATGTGCGGGCTGTAGAACAGATCCTGGCACTCAGGTGACCTCATAGAGCCATGGGACCTGTCCCATAGTGTGGCTGGAACCAGTAGCGTCTGCACCAGAGTTGACCATTGCAGGTCTTATGGCTGGCTCCCTCTGGCTGGAGCCTGACCCTGTTCTGGATGTCCCTTTTTGCAGAGGACCTGATGAGGATGGGGAGGAGGAGGCTGCTCCAGGGCCAAGGCAGGCCCATGACAGCCTATACCGTGTCCATATGCCCAGCCTATATAGCTGCGGCAGTAGCTATGGCAGCGAGACCAGCATCCCAGCTGCGGCCCACACCGTCAGCAACGCCCCGGTTACTGAGTACATGTGAGTTCTGGGGAATAGGTCAAGTTCAGCCCAGGTGGGGACAGGCAGAGCCACAGCCCTGGGGTAGGTACCCACACTTACTGGGGGTAGCCAGTGGGACTGCAGTGGCTGGATCACCTGCCCTTGCATGCCTCTTGTTCCCAGATAAACCTGGTCAAGGAACTAGAGAGAGGCCACATGGTCAGATGGAGGTTCCCTGTTTAGGGCACAAGGATGCTATGGCCAAGGATCCTGGGGCCTGGGTATGTGCTGGGCCCTGGCCAGGGCAAGTGGGTACCTGGGGGCCACCCTGAGCTCTTTGTTATGGTGCCAGCTTCACAGAGCCCCTAATGAGAACATGTGCCCATACCTGTGGAGGTCAGGGTCAAAGACAGGGTGCCAGGCAGAGCTGGATAGGCACGGGCTCTGCTTGGCTCTGAGATGGGCCCTCTTGACCCAGAACTGAGACCACTGTGACCAGTGGTTAACTCACAACCACTTTTCTTGCCTCAGGAGCCAGAACGCCAATTTCCAGAATCCCCGCTGTGAAAACACCCCACTCATTGGGCGTGAGTCCCCGCCACCCTCAGTAAGTGTTGGGGCAAGAGGGTGGGTGGGGTCCTTGGCCCCAGAGGGGATCTGTTGTGCCACTGATGTGGTGGTCTGGTGCAACTCGCATGGGCAGTATGAGCTCTGGGGGCAGCTATGAGCCTATAGCACTGGGAACCAAGAGGGTTGTCCCCAGCTGGGGACTCTCACAGGGTGCCTGGCCTGAGAGGATGGAGCTGGGTTGGCCCACTTACTGTCCTGGCTGGCCTTCAGGCACCCTAAGGCCAGAGTGTATAGCCTTGTAGGCCAGCTTCCCAATGGGGTCAGCTCTTAAACTCTGTTTTAGGGAAGGGGAATGAGTGGATAGCTCTCTTGGCTCTCCTGGGTGGGGCCCTGGCATCTTTCTCTTCCCACCCCACTGGGCCTCTGGACTGTAACAGGACCTCCCCCAAACCCCACTCCCAGTAGCCTGGGCCCAGTTTCCTTTCCTCTTCTTCCCTTGACTCAGATTCTTCGGAGTATCCTCTGGAATCCAGATAGCGCTATACTAGGCCTGGGGTCCTCTCTAACTTTGAGAGTGAGTCACAGACAAGAGCAGGTCCAGCAGTTTTGGCACCAAAGAGAAGGAGGTTGTGGAGAGGCCAGGGACTGGCAGCTTCCTGGGGAAAGAGGGCTAGGCCCCAAGGGTAGGACCAGAGGCCAAAGGCTGTCTTACTTCTGGAATACCAGCTAAGTGGCCACCACCTATAAGATCTGTAGGCACAGAGCAGTGCTTGAGTTGCCTAGGACCAAGGTCTGTGCAGCCACGAGGCCCCCACATCACTCTCAGTCACTCTTATCCTCTTCATCGTATGTCCCTACGGCCTGCTCCAGCTGGGTCCCACACCCTGGTATTGAGGCCACCATCTCTCTCTCTCTCCTGCACCCCACCCACCCTGGGCCCTCCTAGCGCTATCTAGCTGCCCTGGACTCTGGCAGCCACGGGGGCTGGCAGTTTAAGCCCATGGACAGTGCCCGAACGCTGTGGTAGCTGTGCCCTCAGAGTGACAGGTACTGACCCATCGGGTCCCCCACCCCGCACGGCTGCCCGCCTGCGCCTCTGCCCTGCACTCATTGCCACCCTCCTGCTGGCACTGGACTCTGGCTCCATCTGTCCTGCTCCCGCCCATTGGGCTGGGTCTGGGCAGCATAGCCCAGCCATAGACCTCTAAGGCCAGCCTCACAGCAGAGGCACGAGCCCTCTCCAGACCCTGCTGCCAGCTGCAGGTAGTCCCAGGTTCTCTTGTCACCTCCCAGTGAGGAAACCACCCACCTAGACCCTATGTCTCCTGGGCTTGAGGCAGAGTGGAGCTCGGCCCCTGGGTGTGTGGCCGGCAGGCCTGGCCCTTGAGGTGTAGCCTATGTTGGCCCCTCCCCACCCCGTGTCCCCACCCTGCTGCATGTCCCTGGAATGACATGGCTCCTAGGGCTGCTGTTCCTCCTCTGCCGCTCCTCATGGCCACCTGGCAGGTTGCTCGCACCCGTGTCCCAGGAGGGCTCTCAAAGGCCCAGGGAGCATCATCCCTGGGGGTCCAAGGACTGGGGATGGGCCTGCCCCTGGGGTTCTAGAGCCCACTTTTGGGGGCCTGCTCATACCCCATACCCTTGGCACAGGCCTTGGCCTTTGCTCCCCATGGGCATTGTGGACCTGAGCACATGCCTTATCCACATGTGGTGTTCTGCAAGCATATACCCACATGTACATACATGCACGCATTTGACACACATGTGCACTGCTTGAGGTTGGATGAGGGTGGTCAGATGTGCAGCCATGTACAGAGCCAGATGGATGGGGCTTCCCCCCTCTATTCACCTGTGTCCCTGGGTCTGATCCTGGGTCCCCAAGAGTGGGGTGGTAGCATCACTCCAGCTGGGGTGCCTATATGGCTTCTGGAGCTTTCTCCTGGGAATGATGGGGCAGAGCAGCCGGGAAGGGCAGCCCAGGATACCCTTGGTCTGGGGCCTCCCTACTCCTGTGGCCTTGGCCCCTAGGGCCTGGGGCCTGGCTTCAGGTCGACCTTGCCCAGCACAATGGGTGGCCTGTGAGTGGCCTTTGGGTCCTGGCATAGGATGCAGTGAGGCCCTTGAGCTCTGGCTGGGGAAGTGGCAAAGCTCTGCCTGGCCCAGAGCACAAATGCCAGCAATGTGGTATGGGAGGCAGATGCACCCCTCTGATCAACGAAAAGGCTAGGCCCCTGCCCGGAACCTGGGGAGGTGGCAAGCTTTGTGCTGCTACCTCCCTCAGCCCCAGCTGGCCTTCCCAGAGCCCCCTCCTGATAGGAACTCTATCAGCCAGGCCATATACTGTCACATTTTACTCCTGGGTTGGCTTCTGACTCCCTGGAGCCAGGCTCAGCTAAGGAGGCCCTGGCCATGCCTGGGGCCCTCTGACCAGCACGTCCCCTGTCTTCCTCCAGTACACCTCCAGCATGAGAGCCAAATACCTCGCCACGAGCCAGCCTCGCCCTGACTCCAGCGGCAGCGGCCACTAGACCGTGCTCCGGGCAGCCACTTGCCCCATGTGCCAATCGCCCCCTCCCTGTGCCAGCACTGCTGCTTCCATGCAGGGCCATCCCTGGACCTCCACATGCCACGCCAGGCCCACCTCGGACAGATGCATCTGCAGGCTGCTTGTCTCCTCCTTTCCCCCCTCTGCAGGGGTACAGTTGAGAAGCTGGGGCTCTGGGCCTGTACCCCCAACTTGAGTCACGCACGTGAATGCTGCTGCCAACACCCTTGCCCTGCACAGCCATCCTTTGCCCCTGGATTCACCAAGCCCACTCTGGGCAGGTGCCTGTGCTGTGATGTGTGATGCCCCCTCTGCAGATGCACCGCTCTTACGTCCCATCTCTGCCCTCACCCTGGGCTATGCTGTCCTTGCTGGGCCCTTTTCTCCCACAGCTCTTGACACCACGTGCCCTGGTGTTTCTGTGGACCCCTTCTTAGTTCACAGGAATGGCAGGAGTCCCCTATGCTGGGCGTCCACTGGCCGCTGGGAGACAGGGCATGCACCACCTGCTCATCCCCATACCATAGACCTTCTCTCAGCACCCCAACACCCATTTCTCTGCAGTGTCTGTGCCACCCTCCTTGCCTGTGTGGCCCAGCTGACCACAGCTCACCTCTCCTGCCAGTTGCTGGAAGCCTCACAGGGCTCTCTGCCTCCTGCCCATCTCTCTCCTTCAGCACCTGCTCAATGGAGGCACCAGCCCTCCACGGACAGCAGGGGCCATTTGTGGCCCAGGCTACCCTCCCGCCTCCCAGTGCTGGCCTCCTTCTTGGTGCCAAACCCCCCTTTCCCAACTCCAAAGACTGGGCAGCTTTATCTGGTTCCTTTTTGCACTAACCACATTTGTCATCTCTAGGGCAGGCCAGGCTATGGGCCAAGGGGACCACCGGCCCCCTTCCCTCCCTTGGTTCTGTTTCCATCCATGCCAGGTGCAGAGTTCCTAGAGCCTGGCCTCAGGGGTTAGGCCCAAGCTAGCTGTGAATGTGCCCTTAGCCCCTGCCACCTTCCTGGGACTAACCACTAACCTCACTCCCAGCTCCATGGACACCCCTAGCTGAGAGCCAGCAAGTTGACCCCAAGTCCAGGCTAGAACCAAGGCCGAGGACAGCTGGCTGGGAGCTGGGGCTGGAGTAGCTGTTTCTTCGATGGGTGCTGCTGGGATGGGGCCCTAGTCCAACAGGTGGCCCAAAGGGCCTAGCGATCCCTCCCTAAGCAGCTGCTGTACCGGGAGGACTGTGTACTTGGAGATATCCCAAGGGCTGTGGACTGAGGTCACTGTGGCCTCAATCTCCCTCCCTGTGAAGTGGGAACAAGGCTTCCCTAAGGTGCTTTTGGCTTTAGTGTATGATGTTTGCTTACTGCCATGGAGGGTAGAACCACCCCATAATTCAGGATAGGGAAGTTCTGCCTCTTCCAGCCCCAGCCGGGCCCAGCCAGCCAGTGAGGCTCAATGCATGTACAAAGGCCAGGGGCAGCCAAAGGGCCACTGGATAGCCACATGCAGGAGTCCAGGCCCGGGCCCCACAGGGGAAGGTGGGCAGGCAGCCCCAGCAGTTTACAGACACATGGTTCTTCCTTTCCAAGCAGCAGGGCAGCTCCCTGTACCAGAAATGTCCTCATCCCTTCCCTGGGCCAGTCCTGCCCTTCCTCCATGACCCCCTTTCATTGTGCTGGTGTCTGGGACCAAAAGGGAGAATGGGGACAGGGTGGGGAGAGGAGTCAGTCCTGGGCATCTGAGGCCCACTGGGCATGACCAAACCTCAATGAAGGGGACTCTGCTCCAGGCTCTGCCTGGCTGTCATTCTGAGCCCATGGGGCCACAGCCCACTGCTCAGCCTTTCCTCTGGGCTCAACCATGCCATGGGAATGGGTGGCTGTGGGTCGTGAGGGAGGCCCTGGCATCCCCACCTGGGTGCCTGCCATGCGCCTTGTGACTACTCAGAAGCACAAATGCTGCCCTGGGCGGCGAGGCTGCCCACAAGGTGAATGTAAATAGCATGAGAGGTGGGCACTGCCCGGATGTGGCTGTGAACCCCTGTGCTGTCTTGGGACTCTTGACTGTCATGTGCGTGCGTGCGTGCGTGCCCCGTCTGTGATTTTACTCACCGAGGTTGAAGACAGGAAAAGGGAAAATCAAAAGGGGTTCAAACCCCACCTCAGTAGTGGAGGGGAGTGGTTCCTGCCAATGGTTTTATTTTGTTGTTAGTACCATGTCCCCCCTAAATGCCCTATCCCTGTGATCTCTCAACACCCACTGGGGGCATCAGGCCAGGGCCAGCTGCCCATGGCCAGCATCCATGCTCACCCTACACCAGTGGGCCTCATGTCCATATACTCTGCAATGTGGAGTAGGGCTCTGAGGGTGCCCACTCTCCTGCCCTGGCAGGTCTGGGTGGGGGGGACATGCCCACCACCCTCTCCCTGCTGCACCCCCCTCCCCATCTCACTATGCAATCCTAGTTCCAGGCATCACCCTCCTGCCCACAGACCAGCTCACCCAGCCCCAAGGGGTGTTCACTTGGCTGCTGGGACAGGCAGGGAATGGGGCCTTCTGTGGGGATCTTTTGGTTTAGCTGGCTGTGATGGTTGTATGCAGCACTACTTCCTATTTGTTACATATATATATATATATCTTGTTAAAGTTCCCACCGCCCCCATTCCTCCTCCCCAACCTGACATCTGACCTCCCCCCACCCAGCGGACTTGAATTGGAGCAGACAACTGAGGCCTGAACCATTTTTGCATTTTCCCCTCCAGCCTCTGTAGGTCCATGGCTGTACGTACTGTCGCTGTGTTTTTGTTTTTTAGAACTGGGTTTGGGGGTTGATTTTTATTTCTTTGGGGGCTTTTTCTTGGCAAATACTAAAAATCTCGTCAATGTAATTTCTGTGGTTTCTATTCAGCTTGGGTTTCATGTTTTAAAATAAACAAATTTTAAAAAATGGGGCCCTTTTCCTGAGCTGTCCTGGCTCCTGCCTAGAAGCATCTGTGGAGTCGTGGCTCTGAGTGGGGTGGGACTTCATGGGCTGGGCCGGGGCCTTCTCTGCAGAGTGTTTAACCCAGCATTTGGGGACAGGAGTATCAATCCACCTGGCCATCAGGGTGAAAGTTGTGCCCTGTGGTCTGATCGTACAGGTTGGGTCAACTGTGGTCCCCAGCCAAGTGTGTGTAGAGCCCCTACAGTGGCTACTCCCTTTCTTCCTTCCAGACCCACACCAGGGTGGGAGGTCCCTACAGTGTCCATCCTGGAGGCCTATCAGGGCCCACCCTGGGGGAGGGATGAGCTCAGAATCAGGGAGGTGAAGCCACCCTGTGACTAACCTATCCACCTCACAGCAAGCCCCTATCACATCTGAAGTTAGGAGAGGCCCTTCTGGGCCAGCAAGGCATTTGTCTCCCAGGCCTAGCACAGGCCCAGAACACAGATAAGCAAAGGATCTGCCAGGCCCAGCAGAAGCTGCCAGACTCTGTGGTTCCCAGCTTTCCGGACACACATGAGCACCTGGGTCGGGGGCAGGTGGTTGGGTGGAACTTCTCTCTCCTTCCCCCATTGCACACCGGTAGCTTCGGCCAGTGGTGTTTGATCTAACTGGCTGTTCTGGGAAGGGACCCAGGACAGGTAAGCTCTAAGAGGGCTGCTGAGCTGCCGAGGATTGGGGCTTTCAGGATATGGTGGTTACATTTAGACGCAGGAGCCCAAAAAGGCAAGAGTGCCCCAGGCTTGGAGTGAGAGGGAAAAGCTAAGTTAGGGGAAAAGCCCAGGCACATCCTACACCTCGCAGACCTCAGTCCCTGTGACTGTATCAGAGACATCCTGGTTTCTCTTGGGATGGCATACCACTCATTCATGTACTCAGTGGATATTTTAAGTCCAGGCACTGTTTTAGGTGCTGGGGCATAGCCAGGGATAGAAGGACAAAGAACTCTGCCTCAAGTACATGAGAGGCTCGGCGCCTGTGGCTCAGGCGGCTAAGGTGCCAGCCACATATACCTAAGGTGGCGGGTTCGAATCCCCAGCCCGGGCCCGCCAAACAACAATGATGGCTGCAACCAAAAAATG